GAAGAAGCGACAATCCAACGACGCGCCGAAACGACAGAACGATACTATAAAAAAACCCGTTAGTAAAAAGAAAAAAAAAAAGCTATACTTATCTGTTTATATATAATGTCAATCTGTGTAACAGGGGGGTAGCAATATATCGCATATGCGAAAAAAGATAAAATTCTTTTTTTGATTATTTTTATGCTTTTTTAAAAATATGTATATATATACATATATATGTACCATTTTTTTATACAAATCTTTCTTTTTTATTAGCTACAGTGATATTTATTGAACTATTTATTATGCTTGGGTGTCTAAATTATTTTTTAGAAAGATAATTTTGACAAACAAATTTGATATTGTGTAGTTTTTAAATAACTTTACTAAAAGTTTCAACAACTATGAATGTCGAAATAATTTTTTGTTAAGAGGAGTAATTTAGATACTCATGTTATAAATAATACTTATTTTCTGTTATAATATACTGATCTTTTTAAAATCCACAGTGATTATTCATTGAGCCTCGTATAATTTTTAATTTTAAATATGTACAATACTGGTTTTCCTTTTTTTTGTTTTTATTATAATTATTACACCAAGATTTGTAATATTGTTAGCATAATAAGGAAATTAACTTCTTTTTTTCCTCTTTTTTATCTTGTAATCTTTTAGAATTTTTTATGCGTTGAAGTCTATGAAAGAAAATGGCCAGAACAGAAGATCTTTGAGTGCACAAACTTGAGATATTGCAACAAATAAGAGACTAGTAACATATTCTCTTTTTCCAAGACCTACTATGGTTTTTAACAGTATTAATCACTGTTTTTATATACAGTTATAGCCCAGCAAGATTAATTAGCAGTTGCAATCATGAACAAGATATATTTTTAGATTTTCAAGTTTGCTAAATGGGTAATATGGGTACAAGTTTTTTTCTTTCTATAGTTGTAATAGTGGGACCAGTATAATAATCAAATTTGACAAGAATTGCAGTTGAAAAAAAAGGTGAACCCTGATCTTCTTCAGACAAAATTTCTTGAATAGTCCCTATTGATTCATTTACTAAGCCTACTTCTGTCCACAAGTTAGCTTTAAGCATAATTCGGGCATCTCTGACCAATAGCAAGCAAGCTTTAAAGCCTTTTGCTATATTAGAGTCAGCTTTAGATGCTTCACAACCACCTGTATAAACAGCACAGATTTTAGCAATAGGGTGATTTAGATGTCTGATTTTATTAAAATTAACCTCATCAACATTGATTTTTCAAGGTAGAATATATGTAGTGCCTAGGAACTATTCTATATCTATACTAGATGAATCAGCAAGCTGTGTAGTAAGTATTTTCTAGTTATTTATTGTAGACTTTCCATCACACAAATATAACAAAATATCTCTGAAATGCTATTGATCTTCTGAGTTTCTAGATTGATGCTAAATAATATCAAGTTTATAAATCTCCAAAAATTGTTTATATGCAGTTATGCTATTATTTGATAATGAATTATATCAGATCATTTGTGAATACATTGGTTTATCGAGTACAGATGGAAGTTGTCCAAAATCACCAATCAGAATGATCGATCAGCTACCAAAGTGTTGATTACATTGTTCAAGGAAAACCTGCTATAACTGAATGTTAATCAAAGCAAGCAGTTTATGTCCAACCATACTCATCTTATTTATTATAAAATATTTGCACCATCCAGTTTTTTTT